GATAGATCCCCTGCCAGCCTCTGGTGCAGGAGAGGAGCCCAGGCTGGAGCAGGTTTGCTGACCGGGCTTGTGACCCCACGGGGGACCCAGGCTGGAGCGGTCTGTGCCTGAAGGGCTGCACCCCGGGGAAGGGACCCACGCTGGAGCCGTTCCTGAAGAACTGTAGCGGGAACTGGGAAGGACTCACGTTGGAGAAGTCTATGGAGGACTGTCTCCCGTTGGAGGGACCCCATGCTGGAGCAGAGGAAGAGTGTAAGGAGTCCTCCCCATGAGGAGGAAGGAGCAGCAGAGACAAGGTGTGATGAACTGACCTCAACCCCCATTCCCCATCCCCCTGAGCCGCTGCGTGGAGGAGGTAGAGAGCTCAGTCGTAAGCCTGGGAAGAAAAGAGGGGTGGGGGGAAGGTGTTTTTAAGATTTGGTTTTATTTCTCATTATCCTACTCTGATTTGATTGGTAATAAATTAAACTAGTTTTTTTCCCCAGGTCAGGTCTGTTTTGGCCATGACGGTAATTAGTGAATGATCTCTTCTTGTCCTTATCTTGACCCACAAGCCTTCCATTGTATTTTCTGTCCCCTGTCCAGCTTAGGAGGAAGATGGGCACCTGGTATCTAGCCAGAGTCAACCTGCCACACAGGGTCATGTTCTCCAGTGTAAAAGGATCAGGTTTAGCAATGGGGTTGCTATTTTAATTGTTTGAACTGATCAGTCTCACTCTGCATGGGATGGGTGAATGGTGCATCTGCGTGAGCTGCTGTGCTAGCAGCTGAGATGGGGGGGATGCATGACGGGGGTTTATCCTCACCAGTGAGTGTACATCTCCCTTGGACCATTTCTACATTGCAGGTATAGCTGACTTGTGGTTTCCACCAAGCTTATGCTCCTAACAATATTTTTTTCCAGTGCTAGGCTCTAGGTTGGCCCTTATGGTTGTTATCAGGGTGATAGTGAAATGTAAGTTCAGCTGCAGAGCTGTTTGTAACAGCAGAATGACAACAGAGCAGACAGGACCTACAGCAAGGCATCTAGTCAACTGTGAGGTGTGACAGAAGAGAGCTTATTACTTGGAACTAAAGGTACTCAGTCTTGTTCAGCATCATCTCCTGCCCCTGCAGACCACCAGCCCCCAAGCAGTTGTGGCCTGGGGTGTGGGGGTGAGGAGTGGGCTCTGGTGACTTACTGCTGCCTGCAGGTGCTGTTCCGCTGGTGCTTGTGGGGTGGGAGGAAAGTCAATTCGTACACGATTTGAAATGCAGAGCAGTATTTTTGCAGCTATATATGTACGCCTGTCCTAACTGGCTGACTCCTGTGAATAGATTTTATTCTTGGTAGCAGAGGATCCAAGGGATCCACTGAGCTGACTGGCAGTAACTTCTGTGCCAGTGTTTGTTGGCACAGCAAAATTACCTTTGTGGTTAAAGCAGCATGTGCTATACTCTAGCTGGTCATGTGTCCCATGAGAACAGCATGGCTTTAGCATGTGCTTAGAAGCAGAAAACAAAACCTCTGGGGTGCCTAGATAAAAATGTCAATTGCTTTTAGTAAAGCCTATACTGTCAATCTTCAGCTCTATCAACTGTGCTTGGCAGATTATTGGGGGAAGGTCATGCAAGTAGCGCACAATTACATCCTCATTCTGTGGGACAGGCATGTACAATGCTCTTATATCCAAAGTTAGGATGTTATGTTCTGGAGGAATGGAAAACTAGATGGCTAAAAAACTGGTTGGAAGGTTGGGCTTGGAGAGTGGTGGTTAATCAGTTGTGTTATACCTAGAGACTGGTAACAAATGGAGCACCACAAGGATCTCTCATGGGACCTGACCTGTTAACCACCTTTATCATAACCCGAAGCAGATGGCAAAGTGCACTCTTATCAAGTGTGGAGATGACACCAAACTGAAGGGGACCAGTTGATGCTCTTGAGGACAGGGCTGTCACTGAAAAGGGCCCAGATGGGCTGGAGGAACAGGCCAATCGGAACCTTATGAAGTTAAACATGGGCAAATGCAAAGTCCTGCCCCTGGGAAGTAAGAGCCCCTTGCAGCAGTACAGGCTGGGGCTGCCAGGCTGGGGAGCACCTCTGCTCCCCTGGGGACCTCAGTGAACATGAGCCTGCAGTGTACTCCCTGCACAACAGCATCGAGGGCACTATTTACAGGAGCACAGCATGTAGATGGAGGGGAGTGATTACCGCCCTCTCCTCAACCCTGGGAAAACCACATCTGGATATTGTGTCCAGTTTTCCAGCTGAATTTAGCCCATCATCTCCCATCACTCTCGCTGCTGATAGTGGTAAGCAATGAAAGGAGATGTCAGAGGAGTGGGAACAAGATTTCTATTGCCACAGCTTTAGTGGAGTAAACTCCATGGAAGGTGACTGATATCACTACCAAGTCATCCCAACAGTGGAGAAGTGACTCCGAGACAAAGATCTGGTACCCTACCAGCAGTCTCACCTGCTCTTCCCTGCGTCCTGCTTAGGCTGCTAATGGTGTCAACTCGAGTTTAACATGTTTTCGCTGTAAAAACCCTTTTAAGACCTGTTGACTGTTGTGTGGTTTGAAGTAATTCATGTTAGGCTTATCTCATCATTCAAGGTGAAATTTAAACAAACTATGAATTAAGCGATTGTATCAGCAAGTCTGGAGATGATCAAAGAGAGAAGTATGCTTCTGAAAGCTGTTTGATTAGTTGTGTGGCTCAGTCCATGAAAGCAACCATGCACCGCCCTCTGCAAATGCAGCACAAAGAGCTGCAGATTTTTGCAGACTTTGCTCTATGGACTTTTACCCACACCTCCTGGGGACCCTTACTTTATGTTGGACCACAGGGATGTGTATGGCAAGGACTGGAAGATATGAATAGAGGAGGATGGTGGTAGTAAGGCATGACATCCTGGGATTGTTTCCTACTTTCATTATGACTGGCAAATCAGTTTTGCCATGACTGCTCATCCTTAGAAACCCAAGCAAACTTTAGATGAAACTGCCTCAAAGTCATGTAGCTTGTAGAGACCAATAAGCTTGTACCATACATACCAGTGTTTTAGTTGAATTATTTTTTTTCCTCCTACGTTAGTGTATATATTGTGAAATATGAAGGGTATGTATTTCCGGTTGGAAATTTTACACTGGGAGGATGCTTAGCAAAGAAAAACTGTAGGTGGGCATCTTGCAGAATTTTTTTTTTTACAGTCTTTGTCTTTCATTCAGGCTATGGTCGCTTGCTATCCTGGAAATGGAACTGGGTATGTTCGTCATGTGGACAATCCAAATGGTGACGGGCGCTGCATCACGTGTATTTATTACCTGAATAAGAACTGGGACTCCAAGGTGAGTAAGCCGTGGGAGTGAGGCAGAACATGAAGGAAAAGCTACCTCAGAAACAGAGCTTTGGAGCTGTCAGTTGCTTCTGTGAACTCTGAACTTTTGAACAGCTGGTCCCTTCTTCGTCTCTACATTTATTTTCTTGGTGTTTATGGCAACCCTTTGTAAGTAAGAATCTGAACTGTTTCCTTCTCCTTCTGTCTCCCATCCCACACACATACTGTTTTGTTGCTATAGAAGAAAGTTTCTAAGCACTGGGCTGCTGGCTCTTATGCTTTGTTTAGAGGAAAGAGCGATGAAGCACTAGAAAGAAAAACATAATCCACTAAAGAATAAGTGGATTCTGAGACCAGAATGAAATGACAGCCCAAATTTGGGACTTTAGCATTCTTGATACTGTTCCTTCAGGCTAACCTGCAGAAGATCTTCAGGCAGTTACCTTTGTGGTTTTCTTACTTATGAAGTGATGGGGCTTGGTAAGAGGAACGAGGGCATGGCTTTGTTTGTCCTCTCCATCTTTGACTCCACCAGCAGGTCTCTTGACAGGATGGTGCTCTTGTTTCTACTTATATTACCATAAGGCAATAAAGTCAGCCTTGAATTTACCGTATTTTTAAGTTAGAAACAAAATAAAGGTTTGTAAAATTGCAGGAAGTCTCTTTATGCTTATGTTGTCATAATGCAGCACAAACCATTCACGTGAATTATCTGTTGAGAATTGCCCAATGTTTTTTGTCTTTCTAACCCGTCTTGGCCACTTGAGGTGGATGTTCTTTGAGCACAGGTAAATACTATGAACTGCCAAAATGGAGTTCAGATTTAGAGGCAATGCCACTAAAAAATGCACCATTGGAGAAAAACACATTCGTTTATGAAGAGTATGACAGTGAAACATCTCAATGTACTAAAATGAAGGAGGAGATGTGGGAGGAAATGCAAATATCCAATTTATTTTGTGCACTGCACTCCTATTCTAGTAGTGAGGAGGCACCCAAGTGGACACTAAGCAAGCTAACTGAAATCCAGGACACTGGTGGAGAGTATTAAGTGGGTGTGACTGTAATTTTATGCAAATGTATGCTGGAGGAGATGCACTATAACCTTGCTGGCCTTTGAAAGCAACCATGTTGCTTTAAACCTGACCTAATAGTTTCTTACTGAGGCTTGCATACCACATGGAGGTGTTAAGTCAGGTCAATGCTTGGTTGACCACATCTTCCGTGAACTCTGTGCTGCAGCATGAAAGCCTGCAAAGAGCCCTCTAACAGCAGCAGGGAGGAGGCAGACTTCATTTGCGTCTTCTGAAGTTGCTACAGTGCATGCGGATAACCAAACTTTTTCCCGGAAACTCATGGAAAGAGAGAAATGTTGTGGTAGAGAAGCCAGGCTATGTCATAAGTAGGGAAGACACTGTCTGGGAGATATAATGCATTTATGAGAAGCTTATTACAAATCCAACAATAGAACAGACTTCACT